GTGGATTGAGCATCAGACTGCGAAACAAAGGGTCACTAGTTCGATTCCCAGTCAGGGCACATGCCTGGGTTGCGGTCCCCTGTGGGGGGTACATGAGAGGCAACCACACATTGATGTTTCTCTCCCTCTCTTTCTCCCTCCCTTCCCCTCTCTCTAAAAATAAATGAATAAAATCTTTAAAAAAAAAGAGGATGCTAACACTGTCATCTCCGGTATGCATCACTTGCTCTCTCACTGGTGTTGTGCCCATTACGGTCACGACATCTGGCCCACCCTACTTATGACGCCCAACTCAAAATTTCCCCAAGCCTGAAACAGTCACAGAAACGAGCAGGTTGCTCATCAACACACACAAGTGAAACTACGGGTCTTCTAGTTCAGGGAAGTCATGCTCAGTTTCTCACTTTATTTTGTACGGATTCTAACCATTTGAAGATGTAGAGGAGATCCACGCATGTGGGGAAAAACTACATTAGATAGCATCCAAGGTCCCCTCTAATTCTGAAGTTTTTTGAGTATTTTATGGATAATGCAAGGGTGCAGAAGCACAGGGTAAAATTAAATCAGTCACTCCCATCGCTCCTAAAGCATGACTTCATGCGTCTACAAACTTCAACCTTCTCAACCAAAGAATAGAAATATACTTCAGAATATAAACTTCAATGATATTAAAATTAAAATTTAGAAACAACTAATATGAAAGGACGTAGAACAGTTAGAACTGACCTTCAAATTTTTATCTCAAAATGGGGTTAGAATCCTTAAAATTAAAAAAAAAGAATCTAAATGGCTTTCACAAAACACTTGAAGGATTAATATGTGTCTTCTTTGATTATAGCCTGATAAAGTATTATAATAAAACCCTATAATTTCTGCACCACTTATCTGACACATTAGCCTTACATGAACAAACTGTTTAAGCCAAATGTATTTTTTATGCATATGTGAAGCTGAGAAATGCAAGAATTTTGATCCCAGGGTACATCAACCACATGCTCCATTAGTGAAAATCTTTAGACTGAGCAAAGGCAAGGGTGAGTGGCCAGATGACCTTGTTCCCTGAACGGAGAGTCATCTGTTCTCTGGGACGTGTGGCCAGACGCTGGCCTTTAGCCTGCCTCAGTGGCTCAACAACTGTAATTATACTCCTATTGTGAAACATACTTAAAAATGGATTTGCAGAACTTTTCATATATGTTTCCACAAAAAAAAAAAATGCACCAAATATAGTAAATTTGATTCGGGTAGCAATCAGTCTAACAGCTGAAGAGAGGCACTGTCACATATTAAGGCAATTATAACAATGCCTTATTATCCATAATAAAGAGATGCCCCATTTTGCCAAAGAAGCCTTTGTAAACTTGGGTATAAATTCAATTTAAAAAATCAACTTCATTAGGAGACATCACTTTTAAGAGATTCATTTGGCAATTCATTTACACATTAATTTTACTTAATAGTCTAGATTTTTCTGTATACATTTATGTATAGTGAGGCAACTTTCTGTGACAATTAGTTTGCATGCCCTAAGAACATACATTATTTATTTGTAAAAGAAACTAGGGAGTTTTCTTAAAACGTGTATAGTATTAATTTCTGATAAAAAAAATCACAAAATATTGTGTTGCTGTAATTTGCACATATACAGTTGAGACGTTCTATGCTGTTTTCTAGCAACTGTTGAGTTAGAAAGCTACGAGGCATATGAAGAGGAAGACTTGTCTCTCATTAAAAAGCCGCACCCTTAAAATGCCAAAATGCAAGTTCAAAGACTTCAAACCAGCCTTTGATGGTCTGTCATTCATCATTACTACAGCACATTTGGGCAAGATCTTTAAACTGTTTTTGTTTTGCTGTGTTTTTGATCGGGTTAACAGTTGTCTGTGTCCTATCAGCAATAGGCCTTACAAAAATATAATATTATTCATAAACACCTTGACTCTAGCTTCACATAAGTCAATAAGGGTTGAAAACACACATACTAAGTATTTACGCGACATCTCAACTGAATGAGAATAATGTGACTGTGGACCATTTATGCACCAGTCTGCTCCTACACACTGCCCTCAAGGTCTTCCGGCCCTTTCCCCGACCCAAGTTCCCCTTCTTTCAAATTATCATTGGTGCAAGGTGTGATGACTTTCAGGCATCAATTAATATAAATTGGCAGCAGGCACAGTATTAATTAAACATGACACTCCGATTATTTAAACCTTCTATTAAAGTTGATTATTCAGGGCATGTTGAGAGCCTGCTCTTCAGAAATGACTGATGATATCAAGCTTTACTGACTTCCTCCAGGTCCACTATTTCCAACTCTTAGCACAGAAGGAATAAATGAAGTGAGAAGAACACTGAAACAAGTCTAACAGGCCAACAGACTAATCTCAGACTCCCAAGGTCAGAGTAAAGCAATTCGTTTCTTGGCTCTCATCAACACGAGACATGATTTATCAATCTGAGAGCAGGATTACAAACATTATACATCTCAATGATATGTTCTGTGCGCTGTGTAACTTCTTGAACAATGATAGATTGCAGTCGCCGTAAAAGTAATCTCATAGGCAAAACCTATTAGACTTGCAAACAAAAACATTGAGATATTTAAAAACAAATATACCCATTAGCGATCATTACTACACACATTTCATTCGGGGAAGGAGGAATGACATTTTCAAATTCAGATATTCCTTAGGATTCTATCACCACATGATCCAAGCTTTGGATTTTCATGCTCCACAAAATACTACTCTTACTCAATGTATTCATTTGTGGAGCCAGTCACTATGCTATAGATAATTAGCAAATGCAATATTTTTCTATTATCACAACATTTCGATGATAATTACTGCGCTTTCACATAAAACGTTAAATGCCTCTCAAAGTATTGCTACAACCCTAGATCCAAAACTGCTCTTAGAGAAGAGAACACTAGGACAGATCATGGCAACATTTTTTAACACTATAAATGGAAACACAGAGCAGACATTTTGCCTCAGATTTTAGGATTAGTGCTTGACAAGCTTTTAAGAGTAGGTGAGACTTCACAGAAGAAAGGAGTCACGAACCAGTACATTTTGACTCTATTAATCTCCCAGTTTATCTCTCGCTTGCTATAACATTTACAGAACTCTTTCTTCCATAAGTCATGCTCGCAGTAGAAGTTCAGAAATTACTCCATCGAGCAATGTTAGGTAATTTGAAAGGTTTGCACTGGAATTAAATTATGTATAAAGAGTTGCCAATTGTAATTTCGAAACCTTATTCTACATTCTATGTATTTTATATCACATTTCCACCGATTGAAATTAATGAGCACTTTTTCTATTCAATCACAGCTTTCGGAAGAACCGAGTGCCTGGGGGGAGGAGGATACTGAAGGGTGTTGTGCCCGCAGCTGATGATTCATTTCACCAGCTGCCAGGAGGCTGCACGCTGGCCGCACACCTGAGCACTTGCGCCCGCGACGGACCAGGAAACACATTCATCTTGGCACGTCACAAAGGAGACGAAATTATGATTATTCTCCCTTGTAACGAAAGGTATTTTGGAGCTCCGTCTACCTACAGAATAGTACAAATTACACATCTGGCCTAGGCCCACATAATTTTACCATCTGTTCTCTATGTTCAACCATAAATATTTCCCAAAGCATTCTTTGCATTTAAAAAAATAAGATTTATTTTTAAGAGACCTGCACTGTTTGTCAGCGTTGCAGAGGAATGTTATTTTTAAAATTAACACATTGAATAAATTGCTCAAAATCCTGAATTTCTTTGGTTGATAAATACATTGGCACAAATTTAATCATTAGCTTCCGCCAAGGGGATTTTGTGGATTTTCTCATTATTCTGATTTTGAGAAAATAAATGTGTTGGGTAAGTTTTGCACAAAATCTCCCATGCAAAAACTAACTATCTAAATATCTAGTATGAAAAAAGAAAGGTATTAGATGTGCCTTTCTCCAACTTAAGTTTTAACCGTTACTCATTATCTTGACCTAAAATACAGAGATTCTTATTTAATCTCTCCTGAGAAGTGCCTTAGTTTAAGGCCTTAAAATGTAATATCAAATGAAAAGTATTCTAGAAATATTTAATGAAGTTTACAGAATCATGATTTCCAGAAAATGAAAATATTTCACCCAACATAACCAGTGATAATAATAATCTGAGCCTACATCAGTTTTGATACTTTTAAATTATTATAAAGCTCTTATAGCTTATGTTTCTCCTTTAAAATATAAGCTTATTTTCTCTATATATAAAAATTTAATGAAATCTGTACACGAAAATAGGAGAGATCATAAAATGCATATTCAGTGTTAGCACTGAAGGTTTAGAAGCTTCAACATGGGCTGAAATAATTTTCCGTATCCCTTTCAAAAACACTGAAGAAAGAATTGCTTAGGAATTGAAGTATAGAAAACACTCTTATATCAGTAACATTTACCTTGTTCCTAAAATAAGGATATAATAGTAGTAATGATGAGCAGAGAATAAAAACTGGCAGACACCTATCTAAGTACTTTATATGTATTAACTCATTTCCTCAACTCAGTGAGGCAGGTGCTATTATTATTCTCACATTTTTGAGATGAGAGAAAATTCTTTGCAATAAAAAAACTGAATTCATACAGCATTGTTCTTTGGTATTTGTATATATCGAAACATTGAGATTATCAATGTGTGAAACTAAGGCTCTGTTAAGTCCATGTTAAATTGTATATATAATTCTAAAAAATAGATTGCCTAAAATATAACTGTATTCTTTTATGCCTCCAGGTTATACAGTTTATTATTGAATGTAGACTATACAATAAAGTTACTGATATCTAATTCATGATAAAATCAAATAAATGTTATCCACCGAAGAGAATGACAATGATAATTATAAAGTTGACTAGCTCACACTCAATTTCTCCGTTAAATCTCTTTTTTCAACTCTATAAGCTTACATTTATTCCTCACAAACATTTCAGAGTAAATATGGCTACTTACCTTTCAGGATTTTCTACTTCTTCAGTAACAAAGTTGAGATAAAACCTAAAAAGATATAAATAAGTTACAAGCCATTAATACATTTTATGATCACATTTCAAAGTTTCAAATTTTAAATATTTAAAATCAACCTGAGAATTATGAAGACTTTATAAACACTCAGAGTAAGATGAAAATGTTCCACAACCAAATGCTCCCACAAATCATTTTCCTATTAAACCATATTATCAGAGTTACTTTTTAATTTTACATTTTTATGGAACTACAACAAACTAACAGTGAACGCACACATCTCAATGTCTGATGAAGAATTTTTACACATTTACACACCTACGTAACCAACAGCAAGACCAAGAGACAGAACACTCCTGTCCCCGGAGACGGCCCCCCCCAGCCCTCCTCACGGCCCGTGTCCCCCTGTCTCCTGCAAAGGCCACCACCCTCGTTCATCGCCATGGGTTAAATGCTTCATTACAATAGACTGATATTGCCTGTGTAACTATTACATAATGTTCACTCTTTTGTGTCTGTTTTTTTTTGCTGGACTTTGTGTTTGTGAGTTTCATCCATGTGGTGCATTATTTCCCACTGTTGCTTTTCAACCCGTGAATGTATCACTGTACCGTCCACTGTTGAGGCACATTCGGATTCCTTTTCATTCATAGCGACTATGAATGTAGGTACTGTAAATACGCTTCTACCTGTTCTTCTGGGGACCATACACTCATTTCCCTTGGTCATATGCTCAGAGTATGATCTCTGGGTCATGGGGTAGGTGAGGTCAACCACCAACTCTCTGCTACCACGTTTTGCACCCCCCACCCCAGGAAAAGATGAGACTATCATGTGTCAGTCACCAAGAAAACAGAAGTGGCGAATGCACAGTCTCTGTCCTCAGGGAGGACATCCATGGTTTACAAAAGGGTCCATAAGACAACGTGACACGCCCAGGAGACAATGCCGCAGCACACGTGGGGCACCACGGGAGACGGGCGAGGTCTCCCCCAGAGAGGCAGGTGGGGGAGGGGGGTGTTCTAGAGGAGGCATTGGCCGAGCCCTCAAAGCTGCTTAACATTCACCCTGGCGAAGGGGTGTCCGCACTTCCCAGACCGGGCAGAGCACGTGAGCATGGGGTGTAGCCAGGCACATGCGCAGGGCTGTGAGTAACGCCTGAGCACTCTGCAGCGCGGCCCAGCGAGTGACAACAGAATGTCAGTCCGCAAGGCCTTTGCCTCCTGAGAGTCCAGATTTCGGTGGTGGTGACAAATCCATCAACTCTTGTAAGGCAATAGAAGTGTGACAATAGCATCACTCAGTTTTAGGGAACCAGCTTTCTAGATACAAACCGAGGGCACGTAGGAACAGAAAATGGGATGAAAGATAAAAATCTCAGTTCGTACTTCTCCCTTTCAATTCGCTATTTTCCAGCATGCGCCCCAGCAAGCAACCTCACGTCACAAGGCTCTGAGGTTGCTGCCTTTCTTCCTTGTACATGTAGGCAGCTAATTTTAGGCACACTGTGAGTCATCACACCATTAGCTGATAACTGAGAGGAGAACTCGCTGCATATCGTCCAAGTCCTGAACACTTTTCTGGGTCTGTTACACGACAACAAGCATTCTGGGCGCACAATATTACACTTTCAAGCTCTGCAGACACTCACCCCACAGTTACGGGCCTAGAGGAATGCGGGGTCCTTTTCTTCCCTTTGTGACCCACTTTTCCTCTTCCAGAATGTGTGCTGCACCTTTGACCTCTTTCTCCAACCCAGAGGGACGGCTGGAGAGCCTTCAGAGCACGGCAGCCCTCTCTCAGGGTTCGGGGGAAAAAGGACTGACGTGGCCGCCGTACTCCAGTGTGCATGCTCAGATCCCTGGAGCGTGAGGACAGGAAAACTAAGGACTCACCACGGGGAAGCCTGGACGTGTAAAGACCAAGGCCCTTTGCCTTCTTTATTTCGTAGGCTTGGGAAATTCCCACAAAATAAAAAAAATAAATGACATTTTCGATATACTCTTCTGTTCTCTTAGTGTTCCGTAGGAGGTAAAATACCAATTACACAGGCTCACAAATGGGTCTGTAGGTCCAAATTCTCCACAATCTAAAACCAGACGGCTGGAATGTTAGCCCATCAGCCTTGAATACACTTAAGCTTTCTTGTGGCTTAAAACAGCGATGAGAAAACCCGTCATATTCCATCCCTATTAAAAAACTCATCCGAATTAACGAGTAGGCAGTTGATGTTCGTGGTCATTCCAGAAAGACAACAGGCCCAAAATGGAGTGGCTCATGCTAAGCCTCATGTCCCCAAACCGAGACTTAATTATGGTGTCGGCTCTCCCAGAAATGGAACCTGAAACCACTCAGTCAGGAGTCACCTGACAAGAACTAGTTGGGTCACCCGCCTGACGGACAGAAACGTAACCCAGCCACCACGAACCTGCTCCTTTACCCGGTCCAATAGCCTCCTGCTTCCACTTCCTTCAGCCCAGGAAAGTCTTCCATCCCACACCCCTCCTCGGAGCTCCGCCCTGTCTACGGGATGGGATGCTGCCCACCTGCAATTGACGTCTTGCTCACATAAACTCTTAAAATGGTTACTTTTATCCATTTATCTTCTAACACGGTGAAAGTGTCAAATATTCTAAAGATGTGTTTTAAGGAGAAATGTAAGTAGCTGGAAAAAAACAGTAGTGATAACATTGATTTTAAAAATTAGCAGCTAAAAATATTTTTTTTCAGGTAGGGGGTAGTGTGTTTTTTTTTTCAGATATTTTCTCATGACCAGAGTGTAGGTTTCTAAAAACTGAGGTTGTAGTTATGCCAGGAAGGTGAGCAGCAATCAATCCTTATACCCAGAATATGCACTCGGAGGGACTGGATGTGTTTGTTATCAGCCCGAGGCAATGGGAAGAACCCAAAGAAAATACAAAAAACAAAACAAAACAAAACAAAAGAACAAACAAAAAAGGCACACAACCTAAAAAAATAGTTCCAGGCTTCTCATGTCAAAAGTAAGCAGTTCCTTCTTAACACTTGCTTTAGAAGCATATTTTCCAAAAATGTTAAGCACAAAAGGACATATTTATGAAAAAAAGAACACAATTCAAATATTTGCCGTAGCCCCAGAGAACAGAGAGAAGGAAAAGGCTCGGGGCAGGTGGGGGCGAGGAGGAGAAAGCTTCTTATTCTGTTCCAAACATTCGCATCTCGTGGGAAATACACCTTTATGCTCCGCTCGCCTCCAGCAATGAATCCAGAGCATCCTCTGTGCTTCGCGGCTCCTCAAGGCCCCCAGAGAACGTTCACAAGACCTACTGTTCAGCTTTTCCACGATTGTATATACAAGGCGCTGACGGTGCATCCCAGTACCCAACTGTGTGAATTATTTTAAACAGAAGCTTATTCTTTAGATTAGATTTGACACAACAGTACAAAATAATCCCAGCAGGTGCCTTAGAAAGACCAAATCCACTGAGGATGGAATTTAAAAGGAGGAAAAAAGACACTGAAAGCCTATTTTCTATCACACAGTTTAGGAAAAAAAAATTCCCACCTACCAATATTTTGCTTTGGCTCAGGTATGGGGCTAAAATTGGTGGAGCTCCCTTGGGTCTCAAAGGGAACAGGCAGATATATTTCTCTGCATACAGACACTGGCAAGAATATAAAACTTGTTCTGACCCTACTCTGTGACCTGGTGGGTTAATGATTCCTTTCCCCCTAATCGTGTTTCTGGGAAGGGGTTTTTATCATTCTGAAAAGGTTCTGCACTCCTCACAGCCAAAATCTCACTGTGTTCACATCCAGCGTTTGGCAGAGCCTTGCTCCTATGCGACCCTGAGGGAGGGTATGGGGGTAGGGGGGCGGGGGGAGGCGGGGGCTGAGCAAGCCCTCCAGGACAGCCAGGGTCTCGCGGCTTTGCCTGGCACCCCCGGTGGTTCAGTTCCATGGCAGTGGCCACTCTGGCCTGTGTCTACACCTGCCTGCTTTCCTCTTCATCAAGCACTGCGGCAGCAGAGGGAGCGCAGGCTCATTGACGCTGCCCCCTTTCTAGTTCCACAGCCCAGGCTCGTGCATCTATCATGAAGGTCAGAGAGAGGTCAGAGAGGCAGGACCCCACTTGGAAAGGGACTGAGGCCCTCTCTCCCTGGGAGCTCTTTCAGCCTCCCTCTTGTTCCATTTCCACCCAGATCGGACTTTTCCTCGGGAACTCCAAGCCCACAGACCATCTCTTCCAAACACAGCTTCATTTTTCTAAGACCGATGGCCACGGATTAACAACCAGGCCACTCCTACCTACCACCAAGTGGCGCGCAGGTAGCACAACCACTTGGTATCAAAGCATAGTTACCCGACTGTCTCCTACATACGCCGCTTGGGTTGGCTAACACTTCACTCAGAACCCTGGCCTTGATTTCCAGGATTGTGATTGAGCCCTAAGAATATAAGAAAACCAACAGTTTCCTGTTCTTTAAAATAGGGAGTCAACATGAGGATTCTATGGGTAGATGTGTAAATACATGTTCATATAAACCCCATTTGCCCTATAAAGAGCATTGAGATAAATTTGGGGGCCCAACATGGAGCTACTCAGTTCCCCCAAACCAAGACAGCTCTGGGTTCTATATTATTTCCTTGTTGCCTGTTCCTTTTCTATTTCTTCTCTTCCTCGTTCCTTATCCTTTCTTTAATACAAGCTTCCTGCCTTCCGCCCCGGGGTGCAGTGCCGTGGCCCGTGAGGACTGCCCACTTCATGACGTGTTAACTCGAGGTCGTCTGCCTCGCCTACATTCTCTTTGTAAATCAGTTTAACAAGAGTAACATTTTGGGTTCAGTATCAATAAAACTAAGTAGTAAGGTAATAAGATAATTGGGAATGAAAAGAGTCTTTCTCCATAAAGAAATCTACCAGCCCGCAAAAGGCTGCAGAAGTGGAGATTTGCTCCACAGAAAGCAGGCGACCTGAATACCCAGTAGCTGGCACTGCGGGGAGAGAGGCAGGAGGACACTTTAATATTCCATGGGAACAGAGGCATGGTACTCCAAAGCACAAGAAACTTCATTCAGTAGAATTAATCAAGTCTCCCTGGTGACAATCTCCACATCCCACATTCCTGGTTGAATACTGCCCCGCTCCCAGCCCTTGGCTCTGGCTGAAAGCTTCTGCCACTCACCCCGCCCCCCTTCGCTCCAGCGTCTCCCGGTGACCTTCCCCGCAGCTCGGCGGGTGCCCCAGGGCTCCCGAGTTCCAATCCAGGCGGAACGGTCGCAGTGGTTGATTCTGCCGCTCACCCTGTGATCACAGCTCCGTTCTCTTCTCTGCCCAGCAGCACATTGTGCTTTGGGCAAAAATTTTAAAAGGCTTCAAAATACTGAGGGATTTGAGACTGATGTTTACACACAATGGCTGGGAAATAATCTGGTATGTACAAATATTTTATGTTAGACTCCTCAGAGCTATAATTTTCTAACAAACTTCAGTAATTTTGATGTTTAAATAATACTTTCATACCTAGCAGGCTTTCCAGCTGAAGTCACTTCAACTAAATCGTAACTAGATCAGTGGTTTTCAACCAGTGCGCCCCAAGAATTGTTAAAACATGCACTACCTGCCTAAGTAGTCACAGGCACTAACCTCTATTTCCCTTTGATTGTCAAGTAAAATACGACAGCAGCCAGCACAATAGTTATCCAGTGGGAACAAACTGAAATTATATCTGTTTTTTGTCAGATTGGCAAAAAATATGTATTTTGCTGTGCCACAGATTTTTGGTAATTAGTTTATGTGTGTCTCGAGATGAAAAAGATTGAAAATCCCTGCACTAGATCAATAAAATTCAATTCGGGAAATCCCACTCTTCCCACAATTACTGTTAGTTAAATTTCCGAACAAAGCAAGGCATAAATACAAAGTTCTCATGCTCCAACCAGAATGGCATCACAGCTGGACACTCCTCAAAGGCAATGGATCCCCAAGGTGTCGAGATTTTAATGAACTTTGCCGTGTCTATTTTGTTTTCCAACATTGAGTACATGTTAAGGAATATGTAAGGTCCTTTAAAATGTCACAGATTATCTAGTACAACTGATTTCATTATCTTGGTTTCTCCTTGCCTGCCCTTACAGCACCTTTTTACCTCCTGGGAACATCTCACTTATTTCCATGCCTGAGTTCCTTCTTCTCGGGGAAAGGTGGAGAACAATCGATCCCTATCGGTAAACACCCTTGAAGCTTCAGCCAAAAGGCCTTTGACAAGCGAAGGAGCAGTCTTTAATATCTCAGAGCACTATTACGTCCTTACCGATCCACACTTGGAAGTGATTTTTACTGCTTCTTAAGACCCAACATTTGTTTTTTTATAGCATTAGGCTAAATCCAGTGCTCGCCTTGACCGGAAACCTCAGTCACGTTTGCGTTGTTACCTGCACAGGACCCGGCCAGGTAGGGGGGCTACACCATCTTTCTCACTTGGACTAAAGGAAATTGCACTGGGCTACGACTCTTCGCGCTTGCCCAGCACTTTGCTGGCAATAAATGAAAGTACTCAGAGCTAATGGACTGGACTAAGAGATATCAACTTACCAGCCAGCATAGGCATACATTCCATAATAAAAAGCCAGTGGCAGGCCCATAATACTGGCATCTCTTCCTGAAAAGGCGTCTTTAAAGTGTTGTGTTTGGCCTGCAATGAGAAGACAAAAGATTTGGAGAGTTTTCAAAGAACTGGCTATTATTCATTCTTCAACCACAAGCACAAGGAAGGGGCAAGATGGGGTGGGAGGGGTGGATACAAGCTACTGCTTCAGGTCTAGATTTCTTACCCTCTGCCCATGGCCATTGTTACCTTTTAATACTTGGCCCGCTCTAGAGATGGAATCCTGAAAGTATATCGATCCCCCCTCACACTACTTCACACTTCTCCTTTAATCAAATTATAGCAAAGAGGAAAATGGCATTTTTTTAACCCCCCCCCCTTTGAGTGTGCCTCTATTCTTGACAGAGCTCAACCACAATGAAGACCAAGGATCTTTGGTGACCCTGCTTTAATAGACGTATGAGAGAATCCTCTCCAATGAAGATGACACGGGAGAATGCTTGGCAAGAAGTATCCATGCGTCCGTGCTCAAGGAGGAGATGGCGAGACAGCCCAGAATCGCCTTCTCACATCATATAACCTTCTGCTTTTCCTCTGTAGTTCATTAGACACCGACAGGAGGGGTTGGAAAACCTTGTACCTAAATCTGCTCCACCCCACCCCACCCCCAGCTTCTCTGGTAAAGGAGTTTTACTGGAGTGCAGCCGGGCCCACTAGTTTGGGTCTTATGATTGACACTGTCAGTCTACAGCTGGTGTCGCTCTAAAACAGTGAGGTACGTTAGTTGTGGCAGAGACCAAAGGCCCTGTACAGTGAAAGTCTGTCTATGCTGTTCTGGAGAATGGCTTGGGCCCCTTCCAGAAACACAGAAAAGGAAATATACTGAACTCTAAAACAGATACATTGTAAACACATTTTGCATTGACATGTGCCTTGAACACTCTCGACGATCACATTTTTCTCTACTTTATGAAACATGATGGGCCCCTTTCTTGTGTATCTCTTGGATAATTACCAGAAAACAAAAATTCAGATTTAGTCAGCCAGTATTCGAAACTAAGCATATAAAAGTTTCTTTCCCGAAGAGAGCGGCCAATGGGACTACCCACATGGGAACCGCACCATTGCTTCAACGTCGGTCTTTGCGCGAGGAAATTACAGGCGGCGGCGGCTGCTTGAGACCTTCTCCCTTCACTCAAACCTCAGCTGCCACCTCGGTTGCCCAGCAACAACATACACGTCAATATAACGTATGTGAGTTTGGAGACCAAACGTAGCGGATATTGAGTTATACCCTAAACGATTTTTCCCTGGAAGCATCTGAATTCCCTCATGTAGCTCAATTTTTAAAGTTATACAGTGAATTCAGAAATGGCTGTATCACTAAAACATCTCTGTGTCCTCATAAAAAGAAACTAAAAATGCTGGAACTCAGAGAAAGACATCTGGTGTATGGTTTATGGTGATCTGGGCTCTACTTGACCTAAAGAGGCGATATTCCTAGTTGTGCAGTACTGAATAATCAATCAGAGAAACCAAACTTTATAAAGATCAGGTCCCAAAGCAAATATCCTGGAAAGTGCCATTTTGAGATGATTACAAAAGAGAGGCATTTCCGAATGTGAGGGATATTTCAGCTGCGTAACAGAGGTCATGGGAAGATGGTCGTGGCATTCAGAGGAAAGTTTCACAAATCCTCATAAATAAACACAGAGCGCAGAACTATTTTTAGGATCTGAGATCTGATTAGAGTAGACATACATGCACCATCTATATCAGCAAAAATGTTTTTCTTCCTTGAGTTTCAAATTAATATGAGAACTATGTGACTGAGTTAGAGATCAAGAAAATCACTGCTCTGGAGTAACAGAGTAAAGATTCCTGCTAAGAACGCTCTCCAGAATGTTAACACTAACTTTAAATGGGGTTAACACTAACTTTAAAGGCGTTTCTCAGATTGGATACATGCGGAAGCCTGGTCCCATTAAGCATCGACATCATAAGGTTTAATTAAAGCATCATTCTAGTGCAAGGTGCAGAAAAAGATCCAGAAGACGTGCCGTGACTTCCGCTCTCAAGGAGCTTGCCATACAGTAACACCTGGGCAGCTTCCTCTCACTCCCCACCCATATGCAAGTTAGTGGTCAAAAACAGACTCCCGGCTCACCGTCCACCAAAGAGATAAAGGAAGAAAATCACCTTAGTTGTCAAGGGTGATGTATCATCGTTTGGAACCTAAGCAAGGACTCAAGGAGGGTCACTGACCCAGACGGAGTTTCTGCACTTCCCAAAAATGGAGGGCGCTCCGCACAGAAGATGAACGAGGTAGCCCAGAAAACGAAAGCACTCCCCAAACAGACTCCTTTCCCTACATTCCTTAGAGATCGGATAAAATACGGACAGGCTGGCTGTGGGGAGGCCATGGGAACGAGGAGAGCCAGCTCACGGCTTCCCTTCATTGTGTTTACTCTGAGTTGGCCATGGTGGCTGGGTCTGATGAGGACATTTAGCCAGGAGAGCTCCAGGACCTCCCATTGGGCTTGTTACCTGGACAACAGCAGCTCCCTTTCCTCGGCTAGCGGGGACGGCCCTTTCCTCATTCATTCTTGTTTAATGCCTCTACTGTTTTGCAGCACGTTGGCATTTCCTTTTGCCCTGTGTAATTCTTCTGCAGCTTTGTCAAGTTTCTCAAAAACTTCCTTTCTTGGAACTGGCAATGCTCACGTAAACACTAAACACTTAACTCACCCAAGTCATGAGTCACTCCTTTACAATCGCATCTCGCTGCCCTGTTTACGTCCCGCTACCCTGCCCCTCGCTCATTAAATAACCCACCTGGACCTGTTTCTTCTTTTCCAACAGTCCCCAAGGAATCCGGGCTACTGCGCGTGCTGCTGCCTCCCCGAAAGCCACTGAAATTCTAAATGACGTCACCCCCTCCACCACCTCGTCTTTCTTTCTGAACAGTCAACTCTATTAAGCAAGTCCTCCCGGAAAACGGTAGAAATGCAGAGTTTACATGAAAACAGTATCGCAGTGGAAACTGAGTCTTCACAACCATTTTTGTCCTATAACATTTGGTTTTCAGGAACGCTACACCCATATCTGACTCCTCTCCCGACCAGATTCCATGCTCAAGGTAAAAGGAATAGTAACCATAAAGGGAAAGAACGGTTGACCCTCTTTCACTATTTTCCAGATATCTTTAATCTTCATTTCGATCACTGAACTATTTTGAAGTAACAAGAAGTAAAACAAGAAGACATATATATCAGTAGTTTAACAGCATGGGTTTTTTTTTTTTCCACTTGAGTTTTCTCTTCAGTTTACACCGAGACAGAATTCACGGAGGCCGTATTCTGTTGCCCGGCCCAGTCTCAACGCTCTCATTGCTGCTTTAGCTCCAAATGCTGGCTCATCCTCAGTGTAGTGGCCTGTCGGACCCATTAGACGATAGTACGGAGGCGACATTCTACCAGCGGAGACTAACTAAGGGATGCAGCTAGCACAAGCGGAAGTGCGTGCTAGAGGAAACCAAAAGCAGACACGTGCTTTAAAATGCATTTATGTTTCAGTCCATACCTCTGAATAGCTGCATGACTCCAGGGACTATAATGATCAGGATTGCTACAAGCTTGCAAAAGGTGAGGAAGATCTGAATCCGGGCACTCCAGCTGACACTGGTGCTATTAAGGGCCATCACTACAGCTGTAAAACAACAAACAGATGAAGTTACAAAAGGAGAATCCTCATCAGCATGAAGACATCGTGGGTCCCAGCCATCCATGAACCAACGGGTGTTGGCATGACCTGGAAGCATTTTGGAAATGCAGAAGCTCAGGCACCGCCCCAGACTTAAGGAGTATGACTCTGTATTTCAACAAGATCTCTAGGTGATTTTTATGCACACGAAAGTTGGAAAAGAGTTTAGTTTAAAACCTCTAGACAGTGAGAAGTCATCTCTTACTCTTTCCTGACATACGAGTGAACATATATTGCACTGCCTCCATGATTATATAAAAATATCTCCCAACCAAACCCTGAAGTCCTCACAGCACGCAGTCAGATGGCTGACGTGGCTGGCTGTGACTTCAGCGGGAGACGGCAGCCACCTCCCCTCCCTCTAGGAGTGTATGTGTGCACAGTCACCTCCCAGTGCGAGTCACCCTCCGGAAGCAGTAAGATGCCAAGAACTTGGCTGGGACCTTATTCTTGACTCACAGGACTAGCCTTCGCCAGCACCTTCGGGTTTCCTCTCCATTTTCCAATTAGCATGTCAACGAATGCCTTTCAGCCTACCCTCAATGAAGAGGCTTCCAAGGCATGTTTGGGGACTTGGGGAAAAAAAAAAAACATTAAGTGATGAGTCCAGAAGAGTGCGCAGGCTAGGACGAACACTGGGTCTGAAGCCAGCAGAGTTTCCCTTTCTGGAAGATGCTGTCTGCAGCTTCCCGAGCAACAAACACTCGGCCAGCCACTCTCTGCAGCCAGGCTGTGGACCGTGGGAAACTCCAGGACGGAACACGCAGCATCCTGCTCCGTATTGCCAGTATCCAGCTTCAGGCCTGGCCCAGGAAGGGAGTCAACACGGTTTTGTTGAACGAGTGAATGAATGAGCTGGATACTCAGTTTAAGACAAAGCGCTACCTTCAGCCAAAAAGACATGAAATGACTGGTGATACTTTAAGATGCTGCTTCCTACACTCCACTGGAAATGACTGAGGCGGTTCTAGACATCGGATTTCAACTTTAGGCTCTTTACAAAACCTTATGCTGAGCGTTACTCACACCCCTCCCCCCGCCTACAAAGCTACTCTGTGCCTGATATTTGCAGTTATTGTCTATAAGCTTTGTTTTTAAAAGCTATATTCCCCCATCTCCAGGGATAAAATAAAAAAAAACAGAATTGTTATATTTCAAATTGCAAAAGAAAGTTTTTCTTATGCACAGCAATAAGCTGTCATCATACTTTCCATGGTTTGACATAATCATTAACTCAGGTCAGAATTTAAGATTCAGTACAAACATTATTAATAACCTAAAGGAAGGTTGGCTAAGGTACATCGTTTTAATGGTTTACTCTGCAGCCATTTAAAATCATGACGCAGGTAAATAGTTATCACAGGAAAGAATGTTCATGATATAATAGTGACCAGTACAGCCAGTGACAGAGATGGACAGATAGACAGACGGGTAGACACACACAAGACAGAAAGAAAATTTTAAAAATCTAAAAATTATTTACCAAAGCATTAACAGAAGGCATCTATAGAGCAGGGGTGTCACACTCGTGTTCACCGGGGGCCACATCGGCCTCGAGGTTGCCGTCAAAGGGCCGAATGTGACTTTAGGACTGTGTACATGTAACTGCTCCCTCACAGTTAAGCGAGAGCTCGGCTCTGCCGCCAGGTAGAAACAAGGCGCCGGGCTGGATAAAACCAGGTGGAGGGCCGGATTCGGCCCGCGGGCCTTGTGTTTGCCACCTGTGCCATACATGCTAGGACACTAAATAATTTTTAATTTTTCTTATTTGCTTTTTTCTGCATTACTTTTACAATTTTAGTTATAATAAACATGCAGCATTTTAAGCGCAATTATGAAACAATTTTTATTTTTCTAAAACTTCAAAGGTGGAAAAATTTGGGGCTCCATAGATCCGGCACAAACTGAACTAGGGGTCTACTCATGAAGAAATGCTTCAAAGGGGTAACAGCAAGAATGGCCAGAAAGGAGGGGGCCCTGGATAAGCTACATGGGAGGTTAAGGGGACATTTTCACCCACATCTGAAGCTGAAAACATGAAGACACAGGCCCATTCTGAATAACGCAGTGCATTATTTTACCAAAGACAGAATTAAGAGTCAAAATATGTTTTTCTCCCCGGTATAAAGCACTTAGATATCGAAAAAAAATACAGTGCCACCTTGCTCTCTTCTTCATCATCCAGTGACTTCTTTTCCCATCTCTGTGCAAAGGATAAATGAGGCATCATATGAAGAAGATTATTTTCTCAGTTAAGGAGATTCAGCATTGGCCTGAAAACAATCGAACTCATGTTCCTACCGCCAACAAAAGATCACTGTTTTCTTTTGAACAGAGCTCCTAAAACCAAAAACACTCTCTTTCTGAAAGTCCTTCACATTAGAAGAGAACTGTTACATAGAGAGGAAGGGAGAAAAAGGAAGAGTAAGAGAAAAAGAAAAAGAAAAAGAAAAAGAAAAAGGAAAGGAAGGAGGGAGGGAGGGAGGGAGGGAGGGAGGGAGGGAGGGAGGGAGGGAGGGAAGGAAGGAAGGAAGGAAAGAAGGAAGGAAGGAAGGAAGGAGAAAGAAAGAGGCATTCTTATTTCTGGAACCTCTAACTATATTTAAGAAGAGGAAAAGGTTTGTTACTTTCATAAAGAGTGCGAATACTTAGCACCTACTGAAAAAGAGAAAAGGTATTCAGGATTTTCTTTTATATCTTGTGAAGTCTTCTTAGAAAAATAGAAGACAAAATTAAACAAATATTATAAATTGATCATCTCGCCTTACTTTGCTCTCAGATGGCTAAAACAAAAATTTTGGCAAAGACTGATCTCTCTCAAAGGTTTCTCAAGACTCTGCTTTATCTGGGCGACCAGAGGCCACACTCATTATGTGGCACACGGAATTCCAGCTGAGGTGCACCTCTGAGCCCCTGCAGGGCACAGTTTAACAAGTGACAAGGCACCGGGGCAGAGACGCCACGAAGGTCCTCACGTGGCTGGAACCGCTGTGGTGTCATGCATCTTCACAGAGAAATTTAAGTCTACGGATGTTGCGTACCCAACAGTATTGAAAAGGGATTTGGGACTCACTAACTGCAAGAGTTTTCTGAGTCTCTAAAGCAAATAATATTTACTTTGTTTTTTTATACACTATCTACCCATAATATAATAATTTAAGAAATCCGAGTAAGCTCTCTAGTCCTAGTGTTACTTTCTCTGAATAATATTGGTAATTTTCACACAAGAAGAACATTTTTTTTATCAACTTGGGATGGTGACGATGTTGATGATAATGACAACAACGATGATGATTTTTATTTTGCTTATCTTAAATGTTCCCAATATGAAAATACAGGAACAGAGTTTTTGTTGCCCATTTATGATGCAGTTTCCTAAGAAACGAAATGCGTGCAGGAAAGCCCTGTGTACAGATCCTGGAGACAAGAAACACGTATCTGAAGGGAGCCGCACCTGAAGCGGATGGTCAGGGGCACGTTACGGACTGATGGCTCTGTGATTCAAGGAGCGGCAAGTGTGTCTTGCAGCGATCCTGTAACGCAAGTCTGTTTTTGCTCTTGCCGAGTGAGATAGCTGAGCCTGGACAGGTTGGGTTTTCTCCCAGGTTCAGGTTCTCTCTCGGCTTCTGACTTCTGACTTCTGACTGCTTCGTGCTGCCCTGAATGCCGTCTGGATGCTACATGGTCGAGCCAGCGTGGGCTGTTCCCCTGTTTTTGCTAACAGCCACCTGGGCTGCCTTTATCTCCTCCTTAGTATTTATTTTCTGGATGCATCGATTTCAGAGAGGATGTGCAGCAATGAGAGTCTATACTCAGGATCTCACTATTGGGGCTAAAAATTGAAAGCATGAAATGAATGTGTAACTGCACAGAAACTTCTTCTTTTTTTTAATATGACCTTTTTTCTCTCTCTTTCCTTTGGTTCAAACTGGCCTCACTCAGCACCCTGACTCACCAGCCTCCTTCTCCCCTGCATGTCCACTCCCTTCATCCCTCAGTCCTCAGGACAATGAGGTTCTGATCAGCATCAAACAACCTTAGGAAGAAAGCCTCTAGACTGTTGACCCCAGAGACGGAGTTTCAACCAAACTAGAGAGAACTTCTACGCTCAGTTGTGTTTCAGCTCCAGGCTCAGGAAAGCAGCAAACCCAGACGATGCCATGCCATGGCTGACATCAGGCCCCGCTGCAATGACCAATGACCCCCTACCCTACTGCTGACCCATCAGTAGAAACAATGACACTGACCATGACCCTAACTCCCTGGGTCACCATGGTTAACAATCTTTTCCCTGTAAAGCCTGTCCCCTGGAAGCCACCGGGGAGCGCGGTCTTGGAGCATGACCTCCCCTGTGACTCCAGGCGTGGGCGCTTCCCAAAAACGAACCCTTCCTTTCTCTGGGCTGACTCCTGTTTGTGTCTTATTGGGCTGTGAGGCACGCAGGCAAATGAACCCCTTTAGCCCAGTAACAACTGTAAACTATTATTACATGGCAGACACCGTGCACAGATGTTCCAAGGATACTGCTATTTAAAGTTCATATCTCTAAGATGTGGTTACCATCACTGACCTTATTTTCCAGATGAGACACGGGACATTAATTACCAAGCCTACGGTGACCCAGGCGGACATGAGACAGGGTGAGAGCCCAGCAGGCTGACTCCAGTGGCTCCCAGGTCACAAGGAAGAAGTAGCTCACAAGATACACCATCTCACTTGGACTCCTGGCTCTCCCAGACTCCCGGTGGCTCCTCCTCTCTGCCAAGGTTCATGTTTGTCTTGGCTGGGATCTCGGGACACTCGGATGCCACACTGTATTAGTCATTCTCCTGAAGAAAATGATGGTCGCCTGCAGGACGGGTGTATTTCCATACTACATATACCTGCCTAAGGACTGGCTGTCTTGGTAGTTTGGTTATGGTAGGAAAGGAGTGAATCTAGCTGGGCTTCAGAAGAAGCAGCAAAGCTCCTCTGCACGCTATATTTGAAACGCTAGCACCGAGCTAGATTTTCTGTCATGAAAGTTACTGATGCCAGGAAATACAGCCTTAGAAAAGAAATTACAGTAACACATTTGTAGAACAGGCTAATTTTTTTTTCTCACCATGCAATCATGTTATTCTGCTTGCTCCCCCTAATTATTCCCACAGGTATGAGAAGCTGGTTAGTGCTGACCCACATAAATTAAACTCCTACAGACTCAGAGAGGTTGGGAGGGATGGGTCTGGGACCAGATCTCACATTCTGAGACAATATTTTTACTGGGGTTTCGTTTCAGGAGACCAGAGCAACAGATAAAAAATTCTACACTTCAATGCTTTTTGAAACTACAGAAACAGTGAGAATTCACGGAGTTCTGTAGAAGGTCAGAGGAGTACAGTCAGCGGTGGGCTGGAGGGGAGTGGCAAACGTGAGTGTGAGGTTTCCCAGTCACACATCCATGCGCCTCCGTGTTCACCACAGCGGAGGGGTCTGTGAACTGGACAGACCTCTCGTCTTTGTTAACTGGACAGAGGTGAAGTAGAGTCCAGACGCTCCCGAACTTACAAGGGGGGTATGTTTGGATAAACCCAGTCTTAAGATGAAAATATTCTGAGTTGAAAATGCATTTACTACACCTAGCCTTACTGAATACTGTGGCTTAGCCAGGTCTACCTTGAATGTGCTCAGAACACAACAAAAAAGCAAGCAAGCAAGCAAACACACAAACAAAACCCCCCAGCAACCCAGTCCATGGTAGGGCGTGGGGTGTGGCCCCTGGGGACCAGGGTTTGGTGGCTGCGCTGGCTGCCACTGTCCAGCACCATGGGAGAGAATCCGGCCAATGATCACTATAGCCCCGGAAAAATAAAACCAAAACATGAAGTGTGGTTTCTACAGAATGCATATCGCTATCACATCCTCATAAAGACCAAAAATCAAAAGTGGGACCATGGTAAGCGAGGATGTCTGTACTTTTTAAAGGGGGAGGGCGTCATGGGAGTAAATCAGCATTTAGGATCTTTACACGCCTCCCCCAGTCTCCTGTCTCAAATTGTTGACTAACATTTCAAAAACACTAGAAATTCCTTTTTTCTGTGATTTGATTACAACCCAGCTCTCCTGTCCTGGAGAGAGATTTCAAACCACCACACACTATTTCCTTGTCTGGGAAACTCAAGGAAGTAGTTCCCACGATTAAACTCGGCTTGTTGCTTCTCACCAAACCCCACCCCAGCAGGCAGAAAGCCACCGGTCCTCAAGGCCGGGAAGAATGCAGACTGGGAGAGACCTGCCCCCAGGTAGATGCCTCCTCCTCTATCCCTTCTCCACCTCCTGTTGCTCATTAAAGCTAAGACCGCTCCACTTCCCCATTAGACCATGATTTACATTACCTCCCACTGAGTCATATTAATATATGGCTTTCCGTTTTAGTGCTTCTGATTATAGGAACATATTTCCTCACAATTTCAAGGCTGCAAAAGGAACACGAGTGTTATCACTAATGGCAGAAATAGACAGAAGTGTCTGGCTTCATCCAAGGTTCACTCAGCCTCTTGGTGAAATAACTATTCTACCACCAATCTCTACTACAGAAAGGAGTTTTGTAAGCCACAACATACTCGGTTATCCTCACATAAAATTGCTTTAAAATTTTGATTTGAATGGTTACCATTTACTCCCCTAAAATTCACATTTTCCCTTAAAAATTTTTAATAAAATTTGGGTCTTTACGAAAATGATTGTCTAGACTTACTAAAATAGTAATGTGTTATCATTATCCACCTTATTTGAAGGCCAAAGTGGGAAATATTTCTGAGTGTGTAAATGTTCACATAGAATCTATTTGAAGTTTGCTGGATATTAAGCTTTTAATTAGTAACTTCTACTGACAATTTACAGAGCTCTCAAAAAATGCTATTCCTAGTTTTCCCTTTTCAGATATTATACTTGTGATGTGAGTCTGCTTCAGTCAACCAAGGGACAAGAGTATAATGGGCACAACATTGGCTGTTGGTCTGTCCCTTAGTGGAACAGCAGATTTATCAAGAATTTTCTATGGGCCCTGGCTGGCATAGCTCAGTGGATTGAGCGCCGGCTGTGAACCAAAGCATTGCAGGTTCGATTCCCAGTCAGGGTACATGCCTGGGTTGCAGGCCACAGCCCCCAGCAACCGCACATTGATGTTTCTCTCTCTCTCTCTTTCTCCCTCCCTTCCCTCTCTAAAAATAAATAAATAAAATCTTTTAAAATGAGAATTTTCTATGGGCAATTCTGCTAAAGCCCTTAAAATCTGACATAATTGCATCTTTCTACAGCCTTTCAAGATAAGTTACCTTCGCACAGTTTTTTTTTCCAATAAACAAAACAGGCACTTGAAGTGGTTTAATAGTTAGCCCAAATCACGCATCTAAATAATTGTCGCACGCACGAGGTGTCGATCCCAGGTTGCCTGCGCTCAGGGCCTGCACTGGAGGCGCTCCCACCTAGGCACCTGGGACTCCTACTGACAGCTCACCTCACTGCTGCCGGGTGCACCTCGGGTCACTCTCTTTGCTGTGCTGGAACAGTGCCTTACCTGTGTGTAACTGGAAGTTTTAGGAGTATGGAATTCAGTTCTTTCTCTGTAGAGCTTTCTATTTCCGAGTAATTTAAACTTAATCAGATGTTGATTCTTAAAACAGTGATTCAATTAGCATCTAGAATTACGTTATCATTTCCAGTAATTGTCGAGGGTTTGAAAGCTACCCTCGTCTCAGAAGGTAGCTTTTTATATAGCTATAAAGCTATATTTGGCTTTATATCGCTTATGTAATGTTGTATATAATCCTCTTTTTTTCATTTCGTTTAAAAAGATTCTCTACTCTCTGTGCCCATTGATAAAAATGAGCAACTTACGAATCTGGAGACCACAAAGAAAGCTCCTAGTGGAGAAATGCTGCTAATAATCAAATAGAGACCAGAGACTGGTCCCAAGCATCAGCGGGCCGCTGGGCCCACAACACGGCCGACCTGCAGAATGAATGAGCATCACGCGTAACCCCAACGCGTAAACTCCACTCCGTGAGGCTAAATGCGTCCTAATTCAGCACGTTATCACTGAGCAGGGAGAACTTCGAATATCTAAAATGCGTCACATAACTGGGTTTCCATCTGTCATTGTCTCCTCCACACACAACCCAATTTCCATTTTATCGGCAAGTTGGTTTTTGTTTGCCTGCTTTTGAAGATGAGCCATCCTGGCTGGTGACCCAGCGGGATGGAAACTGGCGTGGAAGGCAGGCAGTATCAAGGACTGCTCCGTATACTTACTCATGTCATTCTTTTCCCATGCAAATTTGGCAAGAAACTACCAGCAAAAAGAACCACGATGCAGGAAGCAGGCCTCACCATGGAAATAGTCTGAAGAAACGTTGTCCCCAGTCACTTTTGTGGGTTTTTAAAACACATGTATAGCTGTCATACTCACTGATGCCCACAGCGGTCATGAGCTTGATGGCCAGCTCAGGAATTTCACACTGAATAAAAAACGGCTCCAGGATGTAGCGTCCGAAGGCCAGAGATATCACAGCCGTGGCCGCAGGGCTGGAAAACACATACATGCAGGTTAGCAACAAAAATAGTATCTTCACCAGACTTTGTCTACCAGGAGGGACTTTTCTATTCAGTATACGGAACCTGCTAAATAGGAGAGCCTATACTTTTCAGGACTTCACCAACATTTCAGATGAAATATTGTCTATAGCTTTAGTAGATAGTTTTTAAACTTCACATTGGCTTGGGAGTAAGCTTGGGTGCCATCAACTTTGCCTCTCTTCTCCCACGTCTGCCTTTTCTGCCCTTGACGGTCTAGTTTATCACTCGAGATCCGGACAGGGGTGAGCTTCAGAAGAAGCAGCCTTTGCTCTCAGGACGCCAGCAGTGAAACCCCAGCCCCAGGAGGCGGGCGTTAACAGAGCAGGAGTGGGTTGGGGTATGGTGAGGGTTAATGAATGCAAAACTCAACAAAAAAAAAATGGTGTTTATTGCAAATGTAGGCTTATCCCCTTGACACTGTATGACTACTATTTTTCCAGTGCAGATGAACCCTTGAAGAACCAAGTGATTACTCTTAATTCCACGGAACTATTTAGATGCAAAGTCTAAGCTGAAAAATAGGAGCACTCTTGTAATGTAACACAGGTGAGAAAATATGTGTGAAATCGGAAAATGAACTAAGTTCAGGTATAGAGCAAAACGGAACAAACCATTCTCCTCTAATTCTTCAAATATTTCTGAGAAAATTATACATGTCTTTTCAGTTTAAATATGTATATATATAAATGCATATTCTTTGGACATATGGCTTTGGATAAGCCCCTGGGATGATCTAACTCCTCTGGCCGTCTTCCTCTCCAGCTTCCTGTCCCTCTCACAGTTGTCCCGCACCAGCTGTCCCACACCCGCGCCCAGCCCCTGAACGCTCAGAGGACCAGCCACCTGTGCGTGTCCCAACCTTGGCCTGCTGGTCTCGCACAGGCCTATAAACCTTGACACTCTCCTTTCCCTGCACACCCTCTCCTCGTCCAAAACAGGACTTTATTTCCTGTTCCCCATCACTTGTAAACCTCTTGATGTGCAAAATAAACTCTGATCGTGTCATTTTAGTGCCTTCAGAACAAGCTCACGAGGTGCAAAGATCCTTCAAGAGCGGGCTCCGCCTGCTCTGAACTTTCCCTTCCTCTTCAGTTGGCTCGTCCTCACCAGGGTGCTCTGAATACCCTTTGCCTGGAGCCCGTGGGACTCATGGACAGCTTTTCTCTGCCTCGGATGGTAGTTCCATCTTCCTGCGCCCGAGAAAACCCCTCCAGCCCTCCGACTGTGCGAGAGCTCCCGGGGACGGTGCTCTCAGGGAACCGCGGCTTCCTTCTCACAGCACTTATCACAGTAGCGACTTTCTACGCAGGATGTGATCTCTTCATGGACACCCGCCTCCCTCACTGGGCCCTGAGCTCCATGGGTATGAGACTGTGTCCCTCCTGGTCACCGTCTTACCCCCCCCACCCCGAGTTCAGTCTGTCCTGTGGTGGAAAACCCCATACATCGTGACTACACGATGACTGTACGGATTCCACCAACGGCCCCTGTTTTGCACTGCGGTGCCATGTCTTTCCTTGAAATCTATGCGTTACATGATCGCTCACAAGAGTGCCTTTATCTGAAGCACCGTTTCAGTGTTAAATACTTCAGCACCATGCGTATCGTCAACAGAAGAGAAATGTTAATGGAGTATCTGGATATTTTGTCACTGCTCAAGTCCTTCGTTACTCTGTTTGAAGGACCAGCTGAGCAATGTCAGCCCATATGATAAAGGAACACATAAACCCATTGGAAAAGCTTCTAAAGAACAAACTGACAGTGACCAGAGGGGAGGGGGGTCATAATGGGGAAACAGGGGCAGGGTCACGTCGAGGAACATGTATAATGGACCCGTGGGCAAAGGCAATGGGGAGGGGAGGATCGAAGGTGGGAGGGGGCGTGGGTAGGGCAGGGGAGAGTAATGGGGGAAAATGGGGACAACTGCAACTGAGCAACAATTTAAAAAAGCTTCTAGAATACGTCTGGGCAATTTCCTCCACCAATACACACACATGCACACCATGAATTAGCTCTGTTATAATTAAAGTAACATTTGATTATAAGCTACTTGGGAAGGGGAATTATGACTCACTTCCCTTCAGATCTCTTTCCCTTGCCTACCCCAAGTCAGGGGCAGTGTGAGGGGTGAACACGTTCATGGACGAGCCCTCTGCCTGGGCGACTGCAAATGGAATGACCATGCTCATCACAGCGCCACGTAGTCAGCCAAGGCCGTCCAACCAACACAGGGGTTCGAGTCCAGCTCTCTCAGGCTCCAAAGCCCACCATCATGACAGCCCCGCGCTCTAAGTAATGTGCTTATTTGAATGCTGAGTATGTGAGTCAAAATCTTATAACCTTAAACTTTCCGGCACATTCGATATGATCTAATAGCTAAGGTACTCAGGGCACTGAAGTAAGCACTAGAAGGTTACAGAAAGTGTGAGACCTGGTCTTACGTGCCTGATATGACAGCAGTTCAAACAGGGATCCAGAACACAGACACCTAAAATGCCAGGTAAGAGTACAAGACACCATGTTCAATGTCAAATGAGTAGCAGAGACTGCATGTTTCAGAAGAAACAGAGAGGAAAGAAATACCTTCAACTAGGGCAAACAGGAAACTAACTGTGGAAAAGAAGGAATTTCAGTTGACCTTTAAAGGGTAAGATGCAGATCATCAGAAAAGGGTGGAAGGCACACCCCGGAAAATTCCAGATTTTAGAAAAGGAACAAAATGCTTCTTTATCATTATTTCGTTATAATAAGTTTTAAATAATGTAGAGTTGTTTAAGATGAGAACAGACTTAACAAAGAAGCAAACACTACTCTGAAGATCTTGGTTAAAAGAGAGACTCCTAGGACTATAAAAATCAAGATTAGTGTTCATTTGATGCTTATTAGATAGAGCTCTGTCTTTGCCACCTCGCCACAAATGATGGGATAAAAGCTCACATGAGCACTCAGCTGTGTATTCCCCGCATGCTGACACTAAGAACAAGTGTTCCTAGTTACCTCTGTTAAACTCTGTAATCACGCAGTGCAGGTCATGCTTTCCAATAGCAACGGAACCTAAGGAACTGCGCTACTCTAAATGTCTCACCAATGACATCATGAGTTTCCCATGAAGCGGAAGGGAACTTGCTATTCACAGTGACTTAGCACAATAGGGTTTAATGCTTCATGGCTGCAACAATAAAATCAAAAACACTTTCGCAACTGCAGTGCACTGATTTGTTTAATGTGAGGAAGTGAGTCATTTATGTCAAGTAAAGCCTTATTTTTTTTAAGTAATAAACTTGCCAACACACTAAGTTGTGAGGCACAGAAGTCTCCCAGTCGTGGAAACGGAGTACAGTTCAACGTCTTAGGGATGAGGTCTACAGGAATAAAAACCCCAGCCCTTAGCATATAGCACTTCACTGTGGCCAGTCAAAGGATCTGATTTATCGAGGTGGATTCTGATGCTTCATGTCCTTTCAGGTTAACATCTTCCCCAGAAATGCCGTCAAGGGTAACTGAAGATTAAAGGAAAGCAGCGACTGAAACATCTGGCATGGTCAGCCACCTACTGCCCATGGCAGAACTGCATTGAACCCATTAGTTGAGAAAGGTGTTTCATCACGGACTCTGTGTCCTGAACTGTAATTAGTTTAAAGTTAAACTAATTATAATTAGTTTACTTATTTTTTTAAAAGGCTCTCAAACATTTTTTAAAGATTTTATTGATTTACTTTTAGAGAGAAGGGGAGGGAGGGAGAAAGAGAGGGAGAGAAACATCACGTGTGAGAGATGCTCCCATCCCCCAACTGGTGACCTGGCCCGCAACCCAGGCGTGCGCCCTCCCTGGGAATCGAAATGACAGCCTTTTGGTTTGCAGGCTGGCGCTCAGTCCACTGAGCCACACCATCCAGGGTAATTAGTTTAAAATAATCATGGTAGTTGAAAGAAGGCATGTAACGAATAGGTTTATTTTTATTAATTTTTTCCTATTTATACACTTACCGGATTATGAGCAGTTCCACCCAGACTCGCACGAAAGCTGGCAATGGGCCGAAGACTTCCAGAATATATGTGTAATGACCACCGGATTTCTTTATACTGGTTCCCAGTTCAGCATAGGACATGGCTCCTGTGGAGTGTTTATAATAAAGAGGTACAAGGATAAATACCACCAAGTCATCCAGCAGTCGATCAATACAGCAATGTGTCTATTGCACAGCATGTTACTGTGACCTTTGGTCTAAATGACACCCTTATTTCAAGACAAATAATGGTCACCTAATCACTAAAGAGCCACCAAATTCTTCTTGGAGTTTCCTTAAATTTGAGATATAGTCCATTCCATTTAAACTATGTAAGTGTACTTGAAATGGCAATGAAAAACTTCTAAAACAATATCATGTTATTAAGAATTTTGAATGTCAAGCCTAGGAACAAGGGAAAAAGAGGCGCTCGATGCCAACAACACTAACCCATTTTTCTGTTTTCTGTTTTATTGAATTTATTGGGGTGACACAGGTTGATAAAATGATATAGGGTTCCAGGGGTACAGTTCTATAATACATTAGGTTTCAGGTGTACAGTTCTACAGTACATCATCTGTATATCGTATGGTGTGTTCACCACCTCAGGTCACATCTCCCTCCATCACTGTCTTAGAACATAACTCCACACCAAGGTAAGAAATGATCCCAAACTGACCTCATTATGAGACTCCTTTTAATGCACATTTTTTTGTAGTGCATCAAAATAAACATGTATCTGTTTTTCAGAAAAGTATAAACTCTAGGTCTTGAAAGCCTTCACCCAGTTTATGGAATATGTTTTGTATGTCAACAAAATGAATTTTAACTCAGATATTCTATTTCTGGAAAATATTTTTGGGATGTTTTTAAAGTATAAACTTCTGGGTGGTTGAAATAACATACTTTCAAAAGTGAGATGCTGTAAGTTGTATTTATTACGTCTGGTAGAATTAATTACACACCAAATTTTAACCTGCAGCAATCCAGTCTCATGGACTTGACGAGGTTAGGTAACCCTCCCCAAACTTCAGTTTCAGCGTTTGTGTGTCAGTTTGATAATGGGCACCAAGGACATGCTAGGCCAGATACGGTGAATGAGCACCTCCTGAAATGCAGCTATGCCTATGAACTTGAACAACGACTTACCAAGATCATGAAAAACATACCTTGATATAATGTGAAAAGTTCTACCATACTGCTAAGTACTCCAGTGTAACACGCGATTTTCACTGGAGCTACTTCAGAGACTAAAAGTGTGGGGACTGAGCGCTAGTCCGTGATTCTTCAGGTAGAACCCCCCTATGTGAGTTGAACTTGGATATTCAGTGAAAACTTAGTATCACTGACCCTATCCCTGAACCTAGCATTTTATCGGAGTCACCAGGGAAGAATCTTTTATTTAAAAGCAAATGAAAAACAGATGCTAGGGTCATACCCCAGACCTGCTCTCTAACCAGGCGATTGTAGACTCCCCAATAGAGGGATCCAAGAGAAGCTATTATTTAAAAATTTGCACAGACGATTCTAAAGTAACTAGCCGGCAGGTTGATGTTGGGGACCACTGATCTAGCCGGCCTATTTATAAATAATTATGGCTCTTCGCAATTCACTGTCTGTAGGAAGCCAGTCGCCATGTTGGTAGGCTGTACAGAAAAACATCCACTGTAAAATGTTATCGGAAAGAGTCTTAAGTAGCTAAGAATTTATTTCCAGAGAATCAATACCTAGACCTGTGCATGCTTTGCAGAAACTCCAGGATGGCTGCCCCGGGTTTAAATTGAGTTCTGGAGGATTGAGATTTTCATTTAAAATTCTCAAGCTCCATAACCATTTTACCCAGATGAAAAAAGTTCAAAACAGGATATAAAAATCCATATATTGATCCTAGCTTTACAAAAAAAATAAGAGATTGTAAACCAAATATATAGATTCTTTACTTTTAGTTCCAGAGTTTTAGAGTTTTAAAAGAAAGACTTTTTCCCTTACACTTTGCTTTGCTTCCTGTTCGGAAGGCCCAGCTGTCAAAAAGCTTCCAGTAACTAAAGAGATAAATGGAATGCAAATACTGATATGCAGATTTGTTGGGAACTGCCCAGCCTGGTTTCAAAAGCTGTAATCTCCACCCCGCCCCCTCCCCCATCCATGACTAAGGCTGAGTGAGTACCTTGGGACCATAAACCACCAAGGAGACAAAGCCTATCTCCCTGGCAGGGGTGCCACCCCTGCCCCTTTTACTTCACCCTGCCTGGCCCCCAATGCATGATCAGCTAGCCAATGATGGGTAAGATTCCTCAAAGGAGGGATAATCTAAGACAGGCATGATCACAGGGGTCTCCAGGGAAAGACTTGAGGGGCTAAAGCAAAAGGGGGTGATGGACCTTGGCCCCTTGGCTTTGACATAGCCTGAGTCCTCATTCTGTCTGCTAGAAGTCTCCTAATCCCTTGGCTGATCTCTTGGCTGCCTTACTTCCCCTGCCTGACTTAAGCCTGAAACAATGACAGAGGGCGGTGCAGCCCTGTGCTGGAAAGGGCAGGTTCCCCAGGATGATCAGGCCTAAGAAAGAATGCATAAGATTCTGTGAAAACTGCTTTGCTAAGAATGTCCTCAATTAAAAGATGAGGGTCCGAGCAGGAAATGAGTTTGTTTCCCAAAGTTTTGTAGCCCCTTAGCTAACAGACCCTGACTCAGAATAAGCCCTCGTAGTTCTTTGTATGTTATCTATTGTTTGATCCTTACTGCCTGACAGTGACTGATGAGCTTTACCTGTATTCCTGTTCAAACTGAACCCAATAAAAACCCATGAGGAACAGGCTCCTGGCCCTTCTCCTTTGAGAGATCGGCCACCTTTCCTCCCCAAGCAGATCATGTCTTGGTAGACTTATTCTCATCCGTGGCGGCCGGTGGGGGCCCTGTGGGCAGAGCTCCCTGACACACACAGATTTACACAGGAGTCTACACCCTGCAACTAATAATTGCAGAATACCAACATGTCTTTTACCATAAAGTTACCAAGTGTAACTTTAGGTAGTCCCTTTAGCGTTTTTCCCCACTGAGCTTGAGATGATATACTTTTGCAGAAGCATATTTTCATAGTACAAGTGAACATCACTTTAGCTCGTTCAAGTGCTCAGAACAACCCGTTTCACTGTATCTGAATAGCCTGTTATTGTATACAAAAATGGAATCATATCACATAGTAGGAGCAGCATATACACAGTGCGGGAAGTCCAGGAAAGTGGGTCTGGTTTTTCCTATGAAGACACTGATTTATTCAGAATATACCCAGTGCCGCAGAAGATTACAGGCCGAGGGTGCACAAAGTCATTTAAGTCGATCAACAACTATGTTTCTTTATCTATAAATGTACATGCCAGCCTGTTAGGAATACCACAAACTCTTTAAACATCTAAATATTATTCCTCCATGGGTCTTTTTATATTAAAGTTTTGGGTTAACAAGTTTTATTTAAAATACCTTCTCCCTTTAAAAAGTCATAAATATCTAAAATGCCTTGTTACTGATCATAGAAATTTGAGTTCTCTAAATGAATGCTCAAACCAATGCATTAAAACATCGCAAGGCCTTAAGAATGAGTGGAATGATAGGTGTGTTAGAGCCAAGAGTTAGTACTTGGCCCTAGACTTATGACAAAGAGGTAGTACCTTTAAAGAGTAGTGTCTTTTGAATCAAAACGCACCATTTGCCAGAAAAAAAGCAAATATATCTTAAACATTTACCCCCATAGCAAAAATGAAATTTCTATTTTCGAACTATTCACCAGTTTTTGTCGCCTTTGCAACTAACTCATGTGGCTTTCTAGTAATTCATTCACCTTATGGGGGAACGTTTATTGTCTCTCTACTATTCATCGTCAAATCAATGGAAAGAAATCTCGGTCTTGAATGAAAATTAATAATCACATTTCTTCTAGAAGCCCCTCTCAGTGAACGGGTGGGCAAATGATCTGTGCCCCCGGAAACCGAACGGAACAGAGACGAAGAAAACACACCCAGCAAACACAGCAAACCCGACAGCGAACTCCAGTCTGACATTCAGACTGCACAGGTTTCCAGGCACTGAGGAGACCTGGAAGGTGAAAAAAACCTGGCCCTTGCCATATACCCACTCGTGATAGTGACGGAGTTATGTGCTGTCACTCATCTTTCCACGCCAAGGGCTACTGAAACAAGAGTGCCAGGAACTGACAAACACGTGAAGTTAAAAAATGTAAAAGGGAAAGACTGCCTCCCGTTTGCTTTGCCAATGAAAAAAAAAAAAAAGTCAGTAAAACTTCTGCTGAACTCTCCGCTCCGCAGCGCAATGAGCCACTCCGGGCTTCCCTTCACAGGTGTTTCATTCGGCGTGCCACCTGGCAAGGATGCCCCAAACACACAGAAGTAAGCACAACCGCCCGGTCCAAAAAGCACGTGTTTCACCGGGTCATCAGAGTTAGCCTTTGCTCCGGGCGCCAGGGGGAAAAGGCAGAACATAGTCTGTCTGAGTCAGGAAAAGCGAGTGCAGCCCGCAGGAAGCAACGTGAAGGAATTCGGGACCCTGCCAACGGTGGGCACCGTGCTCAGGTAGTTCGCCTACCTAAACAGAAACCAGAAAACCTGATGCAGCCTTTGCCATTTCATTCACTTTTTAAAAACTACCCTTTGCTTTCCGGGAGCGCGCACGCCCGGCTGCACAGACACACCCCCGGCCCCAAGGAGCAGCCGCACTCACCAAACAGGGACAGGACCCCACAGACCGTCCAGACAATCAGGGACATGCCCACGCTGCCGGTGTTCTGCAGCACGCCCTTAGGAGAGATGAAGATTCCTGAGCCAATGATGGTGCCAATGATGATGGAGATGCCCCTCAGCAAGGTGATCTTCTTCTTCAGCACCACTGTCTCCTGCCCGGGGGGCTCCTTGCCCCCCAGGGAAGGCAGCCTCCCGCGAGCAGTCCCCTGCAGGTAACCTCCACTGGAGATGGTGGACACGACAGGCTTTCTGACCATTGTAGTGACACACGGTGGGGAAAAGGGAACGGGGGACAAAGAAAAAGAAAAAACTCAAACTTTCAACTTTGGTGTCTCTTGGTGTGACTGACTAATCTCTTCCTCTTTGCTCTCTGATTGTCTCTCAGGGCAATTGTGTTCACAGGTAAAAACTCAGAGGTGTATTTTCTCCTTCACAGGTATCTGATTACTCCTCGGAAACACCTGTGTGTTCTTGGGGCTCCGGCTCCTCCACCTCCTCCACCTCCTCCGACTACCTCTGTGCTGTGGCCGCCGCAGCCGCCCTATCATAACAAACCAGTTCCCCTTCCTTATGGGCTGGTATTTAAGCTCCTGCCTGTCACACCAGCTTAATCCGGCTAAATGATGATGCAAATTCTCCAGGTTTGCATCAGCCACAGGAGAAGGCTCCAGCATGACTCAGCTCTTTTTTTTTTTTTTTTTAACAGTAGCAGCATGTTGTTGCTCAACTGACCTAAGTTTTACAGAGAACAAAGCATACCCGTAAAAGGGATCGCAACCAATCCAGAAGTAGGAAACTCAGAACAGGCCTTCGCAGAGATGAAAGCAACTCTTAGCGAGGGACAAAAGCCCCTGACCCAAGAAAGAGAATGAAAAATGAAACAGGAAATGATCCCAGCATTGTAGAGTTCCTTTTTTCTTTTACACACAACTGTTTTGATAATAGAAGGAAAACGAGAAGTGCAGTGTTTATAACAACAAAATTTGGATTTTATAATCCGTTTCCTGCTTGGGTTTTTTTTTTTTTTGGTTTTTTTTTTTGTTTTGGGGTTTCCTAGCAACCCAGGCAACTTCAGTATTTACAAAGCTAGAATGATTCTGTATAGCTGCTGAATGCACATGATAATTGTGAGCCTTGCTCAACATTAAAAAATAAAAATTACTTCTGACTGCCAACAATAAACCAGTATTTAAAAATCACCATCTGAGTGTGACAAGTTTTAAAATCACAGTGATTGTAGAAAATACTCATTGTCTGATTCTCATTAGCACTAGGTGATCTCCTAAACTAAGTAAAAGATATATATTCTTCATTTGCATGATAACCCACTGAATTACTTAAAAACTAATTTAAAAATAAACAATAATTGCAATGACATAAAAACATGCATATAGCAAAAGCTTGAAAAGAAAGACTCAGAATAATAGTTTGGAATGTAATGATATTGCGCATGATTTTTTTTTCTGCAGTGTATGAACTATTGTTATATTATGATTGTAAATGTACAATGAATTAGAAACATAAGCTAAGACTAAATTGTTTACCTTGACACAGTAAGAAAGGCAAAACATTTTTGAACCCTACTAACTATCTTAAGTGTCCATAAAACAAATACCAAAAGAAAAGAAATCCTGGATGTCACGTTTGGCTGTGGTTTAGAGGCTGTGGATTTGGTGAGAGTTGGATGTTACCATCACCCTGAAGCTACCTTACACATACTATTAAATATGCTTCTGAAGGCCAGAACAAAAAACCGTGTGTGAGAAGCCAGGATGGGCAGGGGTTCGGGAGGACACATGAAGGAACCAGCCACTGGGAAGGCAGCGTGGAGAAGGTCAGAACTAGTCTGTTATATTGCCCCTGAGAAAATTACACCACATCAGTACTCTACCAACCCAATAACCGAGGCTGCATCATTACCTTTTTACATTGTCTCCCTGCCCCTACATAATGTGCTTTTGGTAGGCCAAGTCAGGGTCTTTCTACAGCCAGAATGAACACTGTTACCCAGCTGTTCTGTCTTCTAAAAAAACAAAAATGTGTTGTTTTTTTTCATTCACTATTGTTGGAAGTTTCTAAAAAGAAAACTAAAAAAAGATCCTTCTGTTTCTTTCCCACCCCCTCCGAGTCCTTGCACTCATGAAATTCTCCTGGTGAGTGAACACAATGGGGAGCGGAGAGGCCTTGGTTTCCCAGAGAGGAAACACGTGGGCGCTGAGGAAATACGTGTTGGAAGTGGAACCGTCCAGCATCCCAGACAACAACGCTCCATCTCTAACCAGTGCGGAGTCATGCTGCAATTCTGCGCTTTGTACTAAATGACTAAACTTACACATTGAGACCCAGACCTCACTCAGGGAGGAAGTTAAATTCTAAAAAAGGAAAAAAAATATTCTTTCAACATCAAATAACATTCTCTTCCTTCATACTATTCTTAAAAAATTAGTGATGAAAAATCACCTTGGCTGGCGTAGCTCAGTGGATTGAGCGCGGGCTGCGAACCAAAGTGTCGCAGGTTCGATTCCCAGTCAGGGTACATGCCTGGGTTGCAGGCCATGACCCCCAGCAACCGCACATTGATGTTTCTCTCTCTCTTTCTCCCTCCCTTCCCTCTCTAAAAATAAATAAATGAAATCTAAAAAAAAAAAAGAAAAAATTAATGATGAAAAATCACTCGTTAGACTAATGGCCAAAAGAATTGTACCAAAAGATGAGTCACACTCAAAAATTCTGAAAAAAAAAAAAAATTCTGCAAAGCTGCATGTAGGTACTGAAGACACTAGATCCCTCTTTTAATCACCAGGAAATTGGCAGAAAATGCAGGTTACAAAGAAAATGCTGATGATTGTCAGTGTTAACAAACCGTTACAATCAATAGTTCTGAACATATAAACTAAGAATCTAGATGGTCTTCAAATATGTGTGCACCACAAAAATTAGTTCCAAGCAAATGCATTTCTATTCCCCCTCCTGCTTTAAGCCTTATTTTAAACGCTCCCGCCAAATTAGGAGACTATTCTACTGCTATTTACAAATATTGATTTAGTGCTTACTGTGCACAAGGAATAATCCCAGCTCCTTAAATGCATCTCACGGAAGAAACAGACGTGATGTACTATGGTAGCTTTCCCTCTGCGGTAAATTACATCGGCCCCGTGATTATAAATATGGGCATATAATAACCTGACCAAAAATAATCATCTTCCCGGCTGCCAGGCACAGGAATGTGACCTGAGCTGGGAGGCTTCTAAGCAGAATTGGATTTATCTTTTCTCATCTGTTGGAAGTGGGAGAGGTGTGGCTCCAGAGCAACCGGGGGCCTTGTCCCTGTCACGTTGAAAAATGCTCATGAAATAAATTGAAACTATATAGAGATGAGAGACCGGAAATGCCAGCATCATCAAGCCCTGTTTTAGTTCCTAAGGGATACAGATGGGTTGTGGATCCTGAAGATCTTCCTTCATTTCTATAAACTACTCCATTTCCTTGCTAGATATGCTACCTCACACCCACACAAAACACCTGCAGATGAATGGTAGGGCTCAGTACAACGGGAAGGTCATTTAAAGTTCCTAAACTGGGTCGACGAGACCCATGACAACCCTTAGACCCATGTGGTTACCAGCACTAAAATGTGCCTTGTTCAGAGTGTCCACTGGAATTTGCAATCTTATTTTTAAAGAAAGAAGAATAATTATCTCCTTGATAATTTTATTATTTATATTAATTCTACCCATTTCATTCTGTTCTTTAAGGTGGCTACTTAAAAATTAAATTATATACCAGGTTCCGATTCATGGCTCACATTATATTTCTATGGACAGTGCTGATCTGGAAGAGAATAGGATGTATTCTTCAACTTGGTAAAAGCAGGGGGACAGACAAATCACTAACCATATACAAGGATACATTAGAATATATTAAAATTGAGAGTTTCCACTCACTCTGGCTGGCGTAGCTCAGTGGATTGAGCACAGGCTGCGAACCAAAGTGCCGCAGGTTCGATTCCCAGTCAGGGTACATGCCTGGGGTGCAGGCCATGACCTCCAGCAACTGCACACTGATGTTTCTCTCTCTCTCTCTCTTTCTCCCTCCAATCCCTCTCTGAAAATAAATAAATAAAATTCTTTAAAAAAAGATATTTATAAAAAAAAAAGAGTTTCCACTCACCAAAAGATATGATTAAGAGACTGTAAAAGTGAACCATGAGATGGGTGGAGGTATTTGCAGCTGGCAAAGGTCTCATACCCAGAATAAATAAATTCCTACACATCAAGAGGAAAAAGACAGCACAGTGAAAAACAGGGAACAAATTTTAACAAACACCTTGATAAAACGTCCGAAACATTTGTGGGGTGGGGGGAAACCCCTGCTCAACAGTATTAGCCATGAGGGCAATGAAAACTACAACCACCATGGAAATTCATCGCCACCATCATGGTGGTTTACTTGAGAAACAACAAGACCAGGAGCGATAAAAATGGGGAACAACTAGAACTCATATTCTGCTGTTGAGAGTGTTAGTTGTTGCATCTTTATGCAAAGTCATTTAGTAGTATGTACTAAGTTAAACACACACACACCCTTTGACCAATAAATCCCACGCCTAGGAGCATGCCCAGTAAAGACGCCGGACATCCACATACCAGAAGCCGTGCGTGAGAACACTGACGTCGGGCATTATGTACACTAGCCAATACTGAAAGGAACGCAAATGTCCATAAACAGTAAGATGAATACATGTATGGTTGGCCTAAATAATAAAAAGCACGTTTAAACAAACCTTAAGGAATGTATAAAAGCAAATTTGACGTCAGCAGACAATGAAATATTTCTTCAACAAAACATACATCTACATGGCTTGCTTCCTTACCGAGTAAGTTCTCTGCTGTAATGTCACCTAGCAATAATGGTCTTCGTGGACTGCCAGACATAAAATACTAAACCCCATAGTAAACGCTTGACATTTTCTACCTTATTACCTTGTTTTGTTTTTCATCACAGCAATTATTACCACTGCTGAGATGGGAGAAGGGAATTTATTGAATTCACTCCCTTATGCCCGAGATCCAGTGGCCAGCACATGGTATTCCCTCAGTAATGTTTGTAGAATAATAAAAATATAAAAAACAACTAAGAGAAGTATTCATGGATTTACCAGAGCAAAAATTCTTCTGTTCATTAAAAATCACCACAACTATAGAAATAGACTATATCTGAAAGATACTGATATTTCTCATAAGAGAAAGACTTAAAGTCCTGAATGTATAAAGATATACATGCAGATCTATACGAATAATAATAATTTAACACAGAAAGGTTTTAATCAGACTATTCACAGAAAATAAACCTTCACTGGTGGAAAACATGTAAACGTGTACCTCATTAAGGTATACCAACACTTTCTTGACAAATGACAGTAATAAACTTGACTGAAAGACAGCACCACTTGGGAAAATCAAATGTGTTTACCTACTTAAAGCACAGAGAAGGAAGCGAGTGCTTTCGAGATACACCCCAGAGGTCTCAGTTACATTCTTTAGCACAGATGGAGGTTCAAGTTCACCAGTTGCAAACCGTAACACATGAAGAAGATGATTAAGGTCCCCCCTAGCTTTCCGTTAGCGTGACATATGCTCTCTAGAGCTAGCCTGGCATAAATAATTCTGGAGCAATGCTGCATGTCAGCTCATCTGGGGAAGTGCCAGGATCACCTCATCTGGGCCGAGTTTACCTGTCAGTCTCAGAAATGTACAACCTGCAGTTTGATGACAAATCACCTGCCTTACGCCTAGACAGGAGCAAACCTTCCCATCCAGCGACCCCAGGCTAACAGAGTCTAATCCAAAACAGAATCAGAAGAAACATACACACTCTTCTTAAACTCGTATGAAATAGTAACCACAGCTGACCACACATTGGGCCGTAGAACAAACCTCCCCACTTTTCAGACAAAAGGAATACAAATCACATCCTTGACCGCAACACAAGTAACTTAAAATCTGGAAACAGAAAAACTGAAATCCCCATTAAGAACTCATTGGTAAAAAAAAAAAAAAGA